GCAAGAGCCCAGGCAGCTGAATCCAATCCTCAGCTTCAAGCTTTCACTCCTGATTTCTCTAGGATTTCCTCCTAAACCATCTCTTTCTTGAGATTCTTTGATCATAATTTGTGTTCCCTCTTCTGGTTTCCTTAATACATTCACGCCCAGAACTGAAGCCGAATTGATATCCCATTACTACGTAACACGTTCCATTCTGCGTATGAGATGTATAAAAGTTATCCCTGTAATAGACCGTGGAGACCCATAAGGTTTTGACACGGCGAGGCTCCCACAAGCTCTATAGTCTAGAGCAGGGTCTCCAAACTTTTCGAAATGAGGGCCACATTAGGTAATTCAGCACTTTCAACGGGTCGGATAAAATGAGAAATTAATAACTGTAGGTATATGAGTTTTATTGAAAGCACAGAATTTCATAAACTAAATACAAAGTATGTGAGAATAAATTATCGTATATTAATGACAACAGACTGTAGCAGCAAATGCTCATATTTTCATCACAAATTATAATAAAACAACTAATGTGAATGATGGAACTCTTTTTCCATTCTTAAAATATGATTAAATTGAGGTTCAAATTTTGAAACCCTAATCACAAGTAGCGACTTTAAATGTTCATCGGATTAATTTGCCCTGTATTTCTACTTGATGTACTTCATCTGGGAAAAAGTTCGTTCACACAGATATATCGTCCCAAAATGGAGATAAATTTACAAGCAAATTTCTTTAAATTTGGAAATTGCTCAGAGTTCAGAAATTTATAAAATTCGATCAAATTTCCTTCCTTGTATTTGTCTTTAATATGATAATTTTCCTGAAGTTCAGTAATTTCCATTTGAATTTGACTTGGCACATCTGCAGCATCACAGTCAAACGGATTTTGAAACAATCTAATTTCCTGAGCACTGGCATCCAAATCAACAAATCACTTCCGAAATTTTTCTTTCAAATCTAAAATTGTGAATAATATTAATATTAACATAATATGGAATATCAATATATTTTAAACACAATCTTAATTAATGAATTTGAAGTCTATGAACAAGTATTTTCTTTACCAGTACTCATTGGAAAATTAGTTCAATTGGCGCATTTCTGCACAATTCCTTCGCGGGACGGATGTGGCCCGCGGGCCGCAGTTTGGAGACCCTTGGTCTAGAGCATCTGTGAGCCAACTGTCTAGACCCTAGACAATCGGCTCACAGATCGCGGTGAGGTTATCAACTTGATGGTTCTTGCCCTTGTGTTCTGAATTATTTTTTCGAGTATTTCAGGTAATGAGTCAGCTTCAGAAATTTTTAAACAGTTATAGATCCATGTCTGTTCAACAGAAGAATTACAGTCTTTTGTGACACTGTATAATTGAATAGATAAGTACCGACGTTTCGGGGGTACCTTCTACCTCAAGTTTCAGAGTACATGGTATCACACCCCAGAACACTAAAAAAATTACATATTCACCATCATGAGAAACTAAAATTTCACAACATTGTTTACATTTCGACAAAAAAATTGTAATGATTTAAACCTGGAGTCTTAAGTATATATTATGCAATGCAACATGGCGCGGGCTGATCGAAACTGTGGGCGGGCGGACCGAGCTACGGTCGTGTATGGCCATTAATTCGAAAGCTGACGTTGTCGTAATGGGAAAGGCAAAGGTAGAGTTCTCCCTGTGCTTGACTGCACCGTGCCATGAAGACGTATGGGGGAGTGAATGTGTAGCTCCACCACTCTTGACCTCGGCACTAGATGGGGGTGAGTGGTCAGCTTCATGCCCCAGCTGCTTTTCCCTCAGGGACACAACCCCATTACACATTGGGTAGGAGGCTGGGTGGGCCCCAGAGCCAGTCTAAATGCTGTGGAATGGAGAGATATCTCTAGCCCTTGTCGGGGATCCAATCCCGGCGTTCAGCACGTAGCCTTTCGCTATACCGACTTAGTTATCTCGGCTCATTTAACATCGCCATAATTGGCNCTTCTTCCTCTCCTCATTCCCCTCCTTGCCCCCTCCTTCCCCCACCTTGCCCCCTCCACCCCCTCCTCCAAAGGTCTGGATAGCGTCAACTTCATTTCCCATTAAGCAGCAAATTTTCTACTATTGTGGGATCTTAGGCCCTCTGAGTGGTGACTGTGAAAACAATGGCCTTCTGAGATGTAATGCCGCGTAGTTATGGCAGAGCCCGACGTTTCGGAGGAATATGTCATCTCTATCTTCAGTGTAAGCCAAGCAAGAAACTAGCAGAAGCAGGCTGCAAGATAGCCTTGGATTATTCTTCGTCCTAAAGATGGAGGTGATATGTTCCTCCGAAACGTCTGACTCTCTCCGAACTACACGGTGCTTCAACCCAACGGACCATAGTCTTCACGCTAATTTTCCACCTTGAACGAACGAACCGAATTCAGATCTGCGGTATCCAATGTGAAACTTTTAACTTGGCAGTTAAAATGTACTTCGGTCATTAACTGCATTAGAAAGCAATATTTGAAAACAACAACAAAAAACTTAGAATTAATGATTATTTACAATTATATGCCAAATATAAATGTACATGAACTCTACGTTTCTGTTATATATAGTTAGCCTTCAGTTTCGTAGTCGAAGTATCTCGTTCATGAATACATTTGGTGTGTTATTGTAAATGACGATTGTTATTTTCGACTGATATCGAGATTTATTGTTGTGTGTGACGGATGTACAGCCTAACCGACAAGCACAACATACCAAAACAGAATGTTTCAAACACAGAATTAAGTAGACTTCAATATTATATTTTTAATATATATGTTGAATCATAAAATTACAATATAACTTATAATTTATAAAAACAAATTATTGACCTTTATTTGAGGTGATTGTATACGAGCGCTTCTTTTCTAAAAACATGTCTGCCGGACTCTCACTTTCGATTTAGCTTGGAGGCCGAAATATAAAGCACCGACCGCACCGACTGATGTGCTACTTTTTACTTTTAACAGTTTTGCTGGTAGTCATAATTCATTTGCCTGCATGTATGTCGGAACGTGCCCACTGGAAAAGAATAATGGATTTTGCATGTATTAGCTCATGCGCCGCGACCCAATGGAATATTTCTCACCACCCACAGTTTGAAAGACACGAACAATATTGCAGTCCTAGATAGTTCGTCCATTCGCTATAGATGACGTTAGTGTAGGGGAAACAGAATTTTATATAAAGATTGTACTACGTGTGTGTTACTAACAAATGAAACTTTTTAAGGCCTTAGGGTATCACCATTAATTGTAAGCCTAGTATTAATTTCTGAAGACCTATATGTAATATTATATTAGGATTTTCGATATTATAAATCATTTTAAATTTAGCATTAAATTGACCGTATGACAGTTAATGGCGTCAAACTGTCGTGGATTAGTACAGTTCAGTTAGCGTCGGTTCGAGGAGTTTAGTTGTTCGTTGTCGAGTGTTATGTACTAGGTTTAGTGTAAAGTAAGTTAGCTTTGTGACATTCCGAAATATAGTAGCTTTAATAGTTTACGTTATAACCACGGCCCGGATTTTGATGACATACCATATTTTTTTCCTTGTATCCCACGCGATGTCCTTAAATATATAAATCTCGGATATGAGCTGCTGGTTACAGAAATGTAAATTTTATAGGTAATTTTTTGTCATTTTTTTACATTTTTAGGTTTAAGGTCATTTTTGGCCATTTTATGGAATTTTCCTTCGTATGTTTTCTGAAATGTGAACAGTAGATCATTTTTCTGGATTTTTTTCGGTCATTTTTTAAATATCTTCAGGTCATCAAAATCCGAGCCCTGCATATTACATGTTTGGGTCATATTTTAGGTCATTTTTCTGGATTTTTTCGGTCATTTTACAGGTAATTTTCTTAAATATTTTCAGGTAATCAAAATCCGGGTCCTGGTTATAACGTTCCTTGAGCGTAGATATTTTCTTTACATGGGGACTTTGGCCGCGTCATAGCTCAAGCGGTTAGTCGCTTTCTTCCCACCACGGCGGCCCGGTTTCGACCCCGGGTCTGGTCAAGTGGGATTTGTGGTGGACATAGTGGCGCTGGGGCGGGTTTTCTTCCAGTACTTCTGTTTCCCCTGCCAGTCTTCATTCCACCAAAATTCTCCATCATCATCAATCACCCGGGGCAGGTACAATAGGCCAATTAGTGGCCACCGTGCCGAGTGGACCCAGTTGGACTCCACCCCCACTACATGAATTAAGAAAAATTAATTAATTACATGGGGACCTTCATTAATGTAGGATTCGAGGTTGTCCCAACTGTTAATATGAATTCGGCTTCCTGGGATATAACGCTGTATATTCCATTGAAAATGACCTGACATTTTGGAGTATATTCTGTTGGAAATGAACCTGCGTTTCGGAAGAACATGTCACTTCTATCTTAAGGGCCGAAGAATAGGCCAAGCAGAACCCAACAGGAACAGAATAGCAGTCAGAGCCGTCTATTGCATTATGGTTTAATGCTTGGCTTATGCTTCGACCCTGATGATGGGGGGGGGGGACGTTGCTCAGAAACGTCCGTTGACTTTCGATTGACCACGTAGCTTTATATGCCAGATGATAGAAGCCTTCGACTTTAATTATTATGCTAGCCTAGGTTAACAGTATTTTGAGACATCTATGACTTTATAGTATTTTACTTTGTTTTGAAGACTTGCCAAGTTACTGTTTGCAAAAATGAAATATTGTGGTATGAGTGCATTCTATTAAGAATTTCACACATGAGATAACGCAACAACATTTGTTAGTTGAAAGCAGGATAAAGGTATTTGAACTGAAACATACCCACAGTTATTTGTGTGATATGAATATTTTCTACCCACCAACCATTATGGATGATAAAAATACGTTGTGAACCATTCATGAAGTTATAAGTTTGGGCAAATATGAATCAATTATTGCAGGTTAATATGGTGGTTACCAAGTGAGGATCATACATGTAGTTTATTTAACATATATTGAGAAGACTCGTTTTAAGTTACAAACTTTGTACGTAGGTAAGTCAATAAGTAAGTTACAAACGGATATAGAACTGAAACAAATAAGAGTACTAATTTGAAAAATGCTTTTATTTCTCAACATAATCTCCCTGTACACTGAGGCACTTGTCCCATCATTTCACAAGCACCTGAAAACCAGCAGCATAAAATTCTTTGGACTGCTGCGGGAACATGCAGTGACTTCCCTTTCTACAGCTTCATCATCGGGAAATGTTCAGCCGAAAGATTATGTTTAAGAGGTCCTTCACGGCCTGTTACAGGGACAGCTTTACCTTTTTTGCTTTTTATTGTGATGATACAGTAATAGCCGAACTTCACTGTGGGGTAGTTGGACTATACATTCACAGGAGTGTTCATCCTGTACAAATGAGCCATTAGGAGAGCCTGAAGGCTTCTAGAACTGTCAGGCAGTAAAATATAGTAATGAGTCCTGTGGTACTCTGAACCAAGAATGACTGTGCTGACAAGGGCCAGCAGCAATTTAGCAGTCAGCAATCACTGTACAAATATGGCCATAGTACCATCAGGTTTTGATGTTTTGGACTGGACAAAATTGCATGGATGAAACTGCAGATTGAGCCTTTTTAAGGATTTGAAAGGATTTGAGTACCTAATATTTTTGATTGTGCCAGATGTCTGTTAATTGTTATGCCCTGTGTCACCTTTAAGGTAGACCCTTTGGTAATAATTCATTCTCAGAATGATAATGTAGTGGATGTAATAAGGAATTATATGCATGATGAAAGGTTTTGTTAACGTTATGTGTAGATACAATGGACCATAGTAGCTTGTTGCCATATTTAATATGATAAACTAATAAGTGCTTGAAATTGATAGCTGGCAAAAGGAGAATAATCTTAATGTATAAATTATAAGCATGTGATATCACAAAACTTTCAGGATATTGCTGATAACTTGAAACAATTTGATATTGTAACGTTTATCTTGTTCAGAACAGTTATTATCTCAATATCTCTAGCCACTGAAGATCTTGATGACAGATGTTTATCTGCACTACTATTTCACTGAGGAGCTATTTCAAGGAAGTAGTGGCTACATTCTAGAAAACCAAAATTAACACCCATGGGGATTCGTTGTGCTGACCACGCGACATCCTGTATCTCCTAAAGTTGGCACTAACTTCGCCAACAAGCGGCAGTCGCTTAGTCGGTCAGCATAGTTCACTTGCGGACCGGAACCATGGAGTTTGTTTTTTGTTTTGTTTGTCAACTGGCACATTATAATGCCAGAAATATGCTTAACTTTATTTTCCCACAGTCTCTTCTTCAGGAAGGGCTTCAGAATAGTTAGTTTTCACATATCACTTTAAAATAACTGTGACAGAAGAATACTGCCGATTATTCTGGCATTTACAACACAGTAACTGCTGTTCATGTAATGTTATCTGAAGAATAATATGTGTTTTCAGTAATGTGATGGAATATTGTCTATGACTTTATGTAATCAGCCTTCATCAGACATGAAGAGAAGGTGAGGGTCATTTATACCATTTTGAAGAGGCAGTACTGCTATCCTGTACAGATGAAATTTCAGATCTAATGAATGGGTACTTTTTGTACATAATTTTCTTTGGAGGATTGACGAAGTAATTGCCCTGGGCCCAGTTTGAGTCTTGTTTCAGCTCCTTGCGGACCTTGTAATGTCACCATGTTGTGGTCGATGCCTGTTTAAATAAGCAAGATACCTGTTTTCATGCCAATTTTTGTAGGTAAATCTGAACATTGCCAGTAAAAGTTGTCAACTTCTTTATTGTAGGATTTCTTTCCTCTAATGTAGGGCCAAGTTTTATCAGAAACACAGTGTTTGGTTGGACGTAACAAGAAAGGAATTCTCACAGCTTTGGTCACAAGAAAAAATCTGCAGTGATTCATGAAAATGAATCACTGCAGATTTTTTCTTATGATTCATTTTCATGAATCACTGCAGATTTTTTCTTGTGACCAAAGCTGTGAGAATTCCTTTCTTGTTACGTCCACTGGCTCACTGCATGCTGCATGCTAATTGGCTAAGAAATTGCTTGAATAAAATGCTAATAATATGCAGTTGAGCCCTCTGTGTTTGTGTACAAATAAATGAAAGATGTTAAGTTCAAAGATTTCACTTGGAAACTGTGTGAACTGAAATGGAGTACAGTTTTGTAATCTTGAATTTCTAATTTCCAGCTTTGTGTTGGAAAATGAAGAAATAAGATAAGTGTTAAATTGTTTAGAAAGTACTTTACGATAACAGACTACCTTCCATTTTTATCTTACAGTTGTGTCGTGTCTACCATATACAACCATGAGTAAAGAAGAAAAGATTAAAACCTTTAGAAGTAAAGGAAATATTTGTTTTAAAAATAAAAAATTCTCGGATGCAATATCATATTACAGAGAAGGTATGTCATGTAATATTAATGTATCTCTTAAATAGACTCCTGTGTTTAGTTTTTTGTCATTATTCTTCACAGTGTGGAATTAAATCTCTTTACAAAAAACAAACAGAGCTTTACCGTTTGCTATTGGAGTAAATTCCTTAGTATGCTTACAAGTCAAGCAATCATTGTGATCTGTTTCTGTTGTCATATTTTTTGGCTGTGAATGGACAGATTCTGCTGCAGTCTGTTCAGTGTTCTTTTCAACACACTTACATAAAGGAAGTCTATATAGTAGTTGAGGAGTGTTTAGTGTAATTTCTAAATGCAGTCTGTAAGAATGTGTGTGGAGGGTACTACTGAAATAAGAAAAATTTATTTCAGGTCTACAGCTCGATCCAGGAAATCCGCATTTAAATAGTAACTTAGCACAGGCTTATCTAGAAGAACGTGATTTTGCAAGTGCAGAATATTATGCTAAGATAGCAATTGCTAACAGCAAGGATTCAGCAAAGGTAATATTAGCATGGTACAAGCAAGATAAGACCAACCCTGAGCATTTACTGTAATGAGGGGGCTGAACAGCTTTAGAATATCATGACCATGAACTTGTGGTGTTTACCACCCAAGGTCCCATGAAATTGCTTTGTATTTTTGCATAAGATACACTTAACAAAAAATCATATTGAAATAAAATTAGAATTCATCTAATATACCTGAATTAAGATTCAGTGAAGTAAATTTTGCAAAAATGAATCAAGAAAGGCTACCCTTCCAACATATAATCTGTACATGGTGAATAATGCACAGCTGATAATGAAGTTCAGAGGTTGCTGTGAATCACATTTCTTGAAGAAGTGCCCCCCCCCCATTTTTTTCCTTGGAAGTGAGGTATTATAAAAAGGGGCACATACTTGGTGAGGTGAAAAAGTCACCTCCTTCCCATTATCTTTATTCGCAACCTCACTCATACAGCTATACAAATTGCTTCGGGCAAAATTTAAAACACAGCCTTTTCTGTGAGAAAATATAAAACCTCTGCCATCTGTTCTGTGTGCACACTGCTAGAAGAGAGATTAAAGCCTGTAGAGTCAGGAAGTAATGCTTGCTGTGTGATCATAATGTGCTCGTAGATGGCTTCAGGTGGTGGTTCTGTGCAGGGAAATTAATGTGGCATATAGACCCATTGCTAGGCAACGACTTCAAAACAAACAAAAAGACAACATCCATTGCTAGGCAGAGGTCAGAATGCCAAAGGACTGGCTGGAAAGTGGTGTTTTCTGTTTTAATAAGCAGGACAATTGGTGAGTGCAGTGAAAATTTAGTTGAGTGAAGTGTAGGAAAGTGAAGAGTTGGCTGGTGAGTTAGTGAGTTAGAGAATCGAGTTTAAGTTGTTATGAGCTGTTGCTGTTAGGAACTGGCAACTGAGGCGCGTAGTCGGTTCAGGCTTAGTGCATGCTATAGTGAACTGCAGAGTGCGTGAAACAGCGATAACGCTAGAGTTACTTGTAGTTAAAATCTGTTAAGTGGTCAGTAAATTCAGTTACCAATCCAAACCCTATCTGTAGTCACTCTTATAGGCGACATTAAGATATTGGAAGCCTTGCTATGAAGGATAGGGAAGTATTAATGAAGAGTAGGTAAGTAACTGTTCTGAAGGATTATCAAAGTATAATAAAGATAGTGTGAAAATGTTATCAGTCACTGAAAGAATATTATCTTAATTCTGTGTTAGGTGAGCATGAACCTGTTCAGGTTCATGGTGGAGTGGCCAATCTGTGGTGATGAAACCTTGTCCAAGGACCACTATGCCTTGTCCATCAATCCAGTGAAGGTATATAATAAATTCCTAAGCCATATTCTCCTTTACCATCATCCTGGTGTTTGTTTGCAGTCCAGCACTTGGGGGTAAAGATTACTGCTATCAGCACCATCTCTGTTCATGTGTCAGAATGGTAAATCACAGATAACCAAAATTTGAGATTTTCATGTCTAATTATGTGGCAGCCTCTCTGTGTAGAGATAAGCTAAAGGGCTAAAGCTGGCACCAGTAATTTGAGATCAGTTAAGTAAAAGTAATTGTTGTGCCATAGCTCAAGCAGTTAGTCGCTGGCTTCCAACTGCAGCGGCCCGGGTTTGATCCCGGGTCTGGTCAAGTAGGATTTGTGGTGGACAAAGTGCCGCTGGGGCAGGTTTTCTCCGAGTACTTCGGTTTCCCCTGCCAATCTTCATTCCATAAATTGCGCCACAATCACCCTCAGCTATCTTCTGGGGCTGGTACAATAGGCCAGAAGTGGCCGCAGTACAAGGGACTTAGTCCCACCCTACTAGCAATAAAAAAATAAAAAGTAATTGTCACTGTACAGATGTCATTCATATAGGTTAGCTGTACACAAGGCTAGTCAGCCAAGTAATCAAGGTCACCATGTCTATATCAGTTGGCAGACAACACATTGATGAGCTGGACGCATCAGCATAATCTGCCTGAGGCAGTGCAGTCAAGATTTTAATTCTCTGTGTCAGAATCGGAACGTCAAGGTGCACTGATTAACTAAGGAGGTCCAAGAGACAGTCATCTAGCTTGGGCAGCTGGTATATCAATGTTGACAGTCATGTGAGGATATCTGAGATCATAAAATGTGTTGCGAAGTGTGAACAGTAGACTCAAAGCCTAAATGGCCATGAAGAAGGAATTTTCACCGGTCTTCCTTGAGGCATATCGCCTCAGTTACATGCTTGGCCTGGTGTTGGAAGCTAAAATTATCAATTTGATAAGCACTTCTTTCAGTGGACTCATTGCAAGGATACCCAGTTCATATCATATGATAATGAATTACAAGGCAACTCTTAACCCTCTGAACAAGCTAGGTCTCTTTTCCTTTCAAAGGATGGAAGATTTTTTTAAATACTTTTGTTAGGTATGATGTGTCATCTGTGATAACAGGTTTCCCTACTGTCGATACTTTTGCCAGAGGACAGCCGTGAAAATCTTCAGGATCCTTGAAGATTTATGGAAGGGAATCACGTTCCTCAGTAGCCATAGGAAGTCAGAAATCAGGTGGCTGTTTAGTTTTGGTGTAGTCCAGGGAAAGTTAGGAGTTTGTAAGGTATTTGGAGCAGTTGGTTTCATTAGGGATGGTGGTTCATGCATATCAGTTAAGAAGGAGATTTTCAAGTCATTTCATTGATTGGAAGATGTCCACTGGTGTACCCAGCTCCTCCTGGGGGGACAGGCCTGTCTGGTTTCCTGTTCCTCAGTCCTGCCATTTAGACCAACCTCACCAAACAATCGCTTGTCAAGTGAAAAGTGGCCAGAGTCATATCACCCCCATGTCCTTGAGATGTGGGTGATCCATGGGCCCTCCAGGGTTACTGTGTATTTTTCATGTCGGATTGTAATAAAATCCTCAAACTGTATGCCTTGTGAACTTACTTGCTGACCCTTCTATGTTGACCCTCATCTTCTGTGTAAGAATTAATCTCTTTTTTTATCTCGTTCAGTTGACTTTCAATACTTTAGGAATATTTTGGGTGCCCTTTCCATTTCTGTGATCAGGTATGACGAACTGCCTCTGACACAACGGCATAGCTTTGTACTGATTCTGAATTTATTTTTGTTATTGCCGTAGGTGATTACAATATTTTTTTTCCCTTGGCACTACAGCCCCAGTGGGCCTAGGCCTACCTCCATGAACTTCTCCATTCACTTCGGTTTTTCTAGATCTTACACTTTCGGTAGGACTCCTTGGGTGGATGATCAGCTCGCCACAAAGGCTCTACCTTTACACAAACACAGAAAAACGCACACCAACATCCATGCCCTGAGTGGGATTCAAACCCACGATCCCGGCTTCCGAGCGAGCGAAGACAGTGCGTGCCTTAGACCGCTCAGCTACCGTGACCAATTACAATATAGCTGCATGTTAAATTTTCGTTTGTTACAGAGTTAGGAATGTGTGTTTGTATCTGGTCTCAGTATTAGTGTTTCTGATGTGTGTTACAATTTGTCTGTTTTGTAATTATATATGCTTGTTTCTAGTACTTAAAACAGAAGTTTCTGTTGCATGTTTTTATGTTTTGAAGTTCAGTATTTATTCAGTTTGAGTCAGTAGAACATTTTTGCTTACAGGGATACTTTCGAGCGGCGAAAGCCTCTGCTGGTCTAGGAGATAATACTAAGGCAATAAAGTACTTGGAAGACGGGATTAACTGTTGTAATATGTCAGATACAGAAGATCTGAGACATTATCTTCGGACCTTGTATGACAAGGATCCTACATGTAAGTATTCCCAGTGTAGTGCACTTTGGTAAGACTTGGGAATTACCCCCTGGCAGAGTTTGCACTTTATCTGTGATGTGAGCACTATGAATTTAAATTTCTGTGTTTTATACTAAAGGGCACTGTAGCTTTAGCACTCCATATGTTTTCCTATTGCTTCCTCTACTCCAATAGTGTTTGTTGTCTCAAGATTTATGCCATTCATATTTTGATGTAACCATGCATTTTTGCATCATTGTATCTCATAGACCTGCTTCAAGCATTAGAAACTTCTTTTTCCCCCAGGTGAATTTGATTTTTCATAATTTATGTCATTTACATTTCAACTTCGCCGACAAGCAGCGGTCACTTGGTCGGTATAGTTCGCTTGCGGACTAAAACCATGGAGTTTAGTTTAGTTTAGTACATAAAGCTGATTGTATAGTTGGGTTGAAACTGAAGTGACCTGCACTTTAACAGGACTCGGAGCGCTGCTTTCTCTGGCCATAGC